GGGGGGGTGCTGGTTCATAGTGTAGGAGGCTGTGGGTAAGTGGGGCAAGAGGTATATGGGAAATTTCTGTAATTTAAACTCAATTTTGCTGTGAACCTAAAATTGCTCTAAGAATAAAGCCTATTAAAAGATCTGTGACATATCGGCCAATGAAAAAAGTAGTTTGGTCCATTTATGTAACAGTGTACATGTGCTTATATGTAGGTTAATGATTAGAGGTAAGGAAGAATGTTCATTGAATGTTAAGTGGTCAGCTGTTAGATTTCTGGAGAACTTTAGTTTCTTTGTTTTTCGTCTTATGTTTCCTCTATCTTGTTCACAGAAGTTGCCTTTTTTACAAAATCAAAACATTTTCACAAAAATAAGGAAAATGCTGAGAAGGTATAACTCATACCCTGAGATGAGTTTCTCCTGAGCAGTTTTACATACCTCTGTTCAGATTTAGACCACATTTACACTGTAATTACACTACAGTTACTTAAATAAGAAACTGTTCATTCTGTTTTCCCATCCTTCATGAAATAAAATAATTGCAATAAAAGAAAAACGGGAGAATTTCAATGTTGTTCATAGGGGAGAACTAAGGTTGGTTTGGGTTTTACTGTTTACTAAATGTTTGCTTATTTGAATACTTCATATGTGCCAAGCGCCATGCTAGATGCTAGACAAGTGTCTTTCCCAAAAAAGTGGCAGAAGTCTCGAGCAGGAGATGAGAAAATATTGAAAACAGAGAAGGGTGGTCAGAGAGTCAAATTTAACAGCTCAATAAAAGACGTCAGTGATTATGTGGAGGAGGTGAGGGGGGCTTCACCTCCCACACATGCCCAGCTCCCGCTCAGCTCTTTGCAACGTTTCCAATGTGCACAACACAAAACCAGTTTGACAGGGAGTCCTTTTAATATGAAATTTGGAACATGTATTTTATAATAATGGCATAAATAATTCCAATAACCTAGATTTCAGCATGTATTTTCTTGATTCACACAGATCATCAAAGGCAAAATAGGAAAGTTCTACCACCTGAGGTGGCAGGAAAAAAGAAGTGCCTCAATTTCCAGGTAAAACAAACAATGAATCACTAATGGAAGTTTTCACCCCATAATCTGTCCTCACCAATTCTTTTACATGACGGAAATTTTCACTCTTGAAAGATATAGAAGAAGATGTTTGTCCTATTTTCAGTGGATTTATTTCGGCTTTGCAACTGATGTCACCAGCCTACAAAGAAGGACATCAAATCAGTCTTAGGAAGCAAGATGGTTTACAATGTTATTTTTGACTTGTTAGGAAATCCTATTGTCACATGTTGGGGCAGGGGAGGGGCTCCCAGGATTCTCTTCACTGTGCTGACCTGGCCACACTTCTGTTCATCACTAATGTAAACCCTGAAGTATTCAGATCCTCCTGACGTGACTCGATGGCATGGCGCTGGTTCTTGCAGCCCACATGTGATGACACTAATTTGTAATAACAGTTGCCTGTGAGTGATTTATTTAATTCAGGGTTTTTTTCCTGTGGAACAGTTTAGGATTTTGCTTTCCTGTAGTCACCTATAAACAGCACAGAAGTAACACTGCTGTAGCATTAGCTAAGTGCTAGACCATGGCTGAGCCACTGTCAGGGGTTTGGCTACAGCATCCCTGTAGCCGGAGGGCTTTTAGAGAAATACCCAGAGGGCTTTTAAAGAAAAACACTGGTGCTAGAGCCTTAGCCCTGGAGATTCTGATTTAATTGCCTGGGGTAGGTCTGGGCATCACGTATTTAAAAAGCGACCCAGGTGATTAAATGAGCAACCAGGGTAGGCAACTACCAGTTGAAAGTCCAGGCTGGCAGCTTGAAGACCAGCTACTGACTGCAGCTGTGTAGACCAACTACTCTCCCACTATGGGCTCAACTTCTCACTTCCCAGCCAACTAACTTCTCTATAAACAGGGCTCTGACAAAGTCAGATCTTCAGCTGGTCAGAAGGAGGTTTTAATAATTTCTGCCACCTGTACATCCCTAGACTCAGACATTTCTTATAACAATATCCTGCTTCTAATATGAAATTAACTGCTAGTTACCTGGCACCCAGGGTGCATAGGGGTTATCCTTTCAGTTTCTTGTCTGTATGATGCAGACATGATCACCCCCACTTCATGGAACATTTCCGTATGGAGGGCACACGTTTTTATAGGCAATTTGGCTGCACTTACCTGGTCCGTGTGCACGCCAGTCAGGTACATCAACGGGTTCTTGCCTCTGGTGTATTGAGGGATATGGATGATTACGGATGCCATGCTGACTGGAACACTTCCTGTTGTTACCTATGTAGTAAGAAAACATTGATTGCCGCTACATCATACACATGTTGGAAGGAATGGGATCAATAACCTCAGTGTTGCTGAAGGGCAACTATTAAGTGGTAAGAGTGAATCCATATGAAAGTGAGTCATTACTTTATGGTCACTCTTTGGCTCACTGTGTTTTACCTCTTGGAAGAATCTCAACATCTGCAATTTTAACGGGTAAATAATTTGTGACTTAGGAGATGATTAAAAACACCTACCCTCTGTGGGTTTGGTCTGCTGGGGCATGAAGTCCCACTCTGCCCCTGACTAGCAGTATGGCCTGGGCAAGGTACTTCACCTCTTTATGCTTCAGTTTTCTCATTTGTAAACTAAAGATAATTGGCATATCAGTAGGTATGCACAGATACAGCCTCTGTTCTCACTGTTGGAAAGTCTGTCCTAGTTGTCCAGGGCTCATGCCCTAACTGGTTGTTAAACATTTTAAAGAACACTCATAGGAATAATAATCCTATCAATCTCATAACTGATCTGGGAATTAAATGGGTTAACATACATAAAGCACTTCATACAAAGGCTGATACTTATTACGTGTTCTTTGAATATTATAATATATACTACTAATTGAGTAAATGTTTCATTAAAGTAGTAGTTGCCAAATACCGTGTACATTTTATAAATTCCAGTATCTGGATCACAAATCAAGACTCCTTTAAGAACTTTTTAAATCACTGAATTATAGAGTTGCAACCATGTGACAGACTTATAGGAAATGTACAAAAATAAAATGGTAATGACTAAGGGTGGTGGATGGATTCTTCCCTTTTTATTTTCCAAAGTTTATGCAATGTTATTATAAAATATCATTCTCTCATAAATTCATTTCTCTTTATATAACTGAAAACAAACTTTAAATTTGTACTTTGTACTTTACTAATAGCCAACAGAAACTGATTTTAAAATATTTTTATATACTACTTAGCATGACTGTACAAAATAAATATTTGTATACAAATGGTGAGCTTCTCAAATAGAAGTGGTTTCCAAGGATAAATTGGCATACTGATTATATTTCAGAGACTTTTGTCCATAATAATATCATTATATTACTGCTCTGTTGATTAATGTGCAACAATTTGCTTTCAAAACACATCAATTATCTCTTACCCGGGACACATAACTATGTACAAAGCCCACCTGTTTACTTATCAGTGGTCTACCTTAGTAGTTCTCAAAGTATGGCACCCGGACCAGAAGCATCAGCGTCACCTGGGAACTTGTTAGAACTGCACATTGTTAGGTCCACCCCAGGCCTTTTGAATCAGAAACACTGGAGATGGAGCCCAGTGACATGTGTTTTAACAAGACTCCAGGTGATTCTAATGTGTGCTCAAGTTTGGGAACCACTGGTATATTTCAACTTCTTTTTACTTTCTTTTTCTCCTCCTGCCCTCATTTTTTTCCCCCTTTCTCTTGATTTTCCATTCTAATGTCAGGTTTACCAACCTTAATGAAGAAGATGAATTTTGGACCAATATCTTCAAAATTGTTCACAATAGAAGGAATATTCCCATCCGAGGAGACTTCATAAAAATTTATGTTGGTAGATCTGTTGGATGATGTTTGTAAAGCCGAATATTTTAGTTATGCTACTGTTCTTGAAGTTCAATATTTCTTTTATCTAAATATCTTCTAGCTTATTTTACAAGTGAAAGAGTTTACATTTAGGTACAAAACATTAAATGAAAACAAATGCTTATTATGGACTTATGATCCAGTTATACATTTCTAAAGCTAAAACAAGTTCCTTTCAAAACATATCCCTTAATGATCACTCTGCTGAGATTCTTTGTGTTATATGTGTATCAGTTGTAAAGTTTCTAAAATAAGTACAAATGTATTAAGAATTTGTAGTGAAACTCTTCTCAAGATATTATATCTTGACAGGTATGTCAAGATATATTGACAGGCGTGTTAATATAGTGGACACTTGGTCCTTATTGATTGGATGAATGGATTTATAAGGCAGAGGATTTTCCACTTGGTATGATGGCTGAAATACCATGATAAGATATTGGGCATTAGCTCCTACACTACTCATCACTGGATGCCTGTGAAACGGGGTATACATTTTATTTATTATTCCTTCTCCCTATTATTCCGTAGTTCCAAACCAGCTCTGACACTTTGGTCTGAATTGGGGTTGGTCAGTCTGTTTCCACCACTGACCATACAGACCATCTCTAAGGTGGCTGACCCAGGAGTTTTATTAGACTAGGCCTAGAGGCACTGGCCTAATTGGACTTCTTTGCTTGGGGCTGCTGAGTAGGGTTTGCAAGTGAGGTGATGACCAGGCCAGAGGGAACCCCACAGGACCACTCAGACTGGAAGGTAACTGAATACCATTCCCTCTCTTCACTCATTTCTGGGAATCTGAGGATGGATTTCAACTAGGGTAGCTTCATTGAGGGGTGGAGGGTATATGGCAGGGATGGGAGTCTGAGAAGCAATATTTATTTCCAACAGACAATTTATCCTAACTACAGGATGTTGATTCTATTTCCTAAAAAAAAAATTGGACTGGATATTTTCTGAGATAGAGTTGTTTGGTTTCTTTACTGAAAATCTTGCCTTTTTCTTTTTTTATGCCTTAGAATTTTTTCCCAAATTCTCAAAAGGAAAATATGCCATAGGGACTTAAATAGATGTAGTATTTGTCAAGGTTATGTCTATGAGAGGAAACAATGATTTGTCAGCCTTACATGGAAAATGGGAAAACGGACTAGGATTTAAAACAGAAAGCCTGACCCCAATAAAAATTAATTACAATAAAAGAAAATAAAACAGAAAGTCTGGCTGTATGTCCATGAATTATTCCCTTTGCCTTCCAGAAGACCTTTGTGCGAGCCCCTAAGTATGGCCAGTTTTTAAATTGATTAATATGCTCTGTTTTTGCATTTTAAAGAGATCCAGTATTTTTCCATGTTACTTAAGTGTTCCTTCAGTTACTTAAGTATTGATCAATATATTTATATTAGCAGTTAGCTATACTCAGGCGGATCTTGTTTTAGAAGTAATTCTACTGTCATCTATTTCCATCCATCATATTTGCACAAAATAATTACACACTTATACAGTATCAAAGTGATTCCTAAGGGATATACTCAATAATTGGGTAGGACTTTTTTTCAAAAAAGTAAACTCTGTGTGTGTGTGTGTGTGTGTGTATGTGTATGATGTAAACTCTGTGTGTGTGTGTGTGTGTGATGTGTATTTATCCTGGTAGATAAATAAACCCTGTATCTGGAAGGTATTCTGAAAACAGTCAAGTTAGTCATCTACAAAATGACCAGAGGAGATGCCGAGGGATGATTTCACTTTTTGTTGTGTACGTTTCAGTAATGTTTGGATTTTCTATCCATGTACATTTAATATCTTTTTTTACAAAAGACATTAAGGGAAATTATCTGAGAGGTAGGATTAGGAGCCACTTTAGCTTTATTCTTTATAATTCTCCATACTTTTTTTAACTGCATGATATACTTAAAAGAATATGAGAATGTCTGAGAATCCAATTTACCATCACAAAAAATACATAGCTAAGATGTTAGTAAACGTGAAGTCCCACTTCAGTATTGTATTTATTTCATCTTAAAATATCTGAAAAAATTGGCCATGGTGGGAGAATGGAATTAGAAAAAGGGTATATTAACAAAAAGCATTTAGGATGAGAAAGAAGCATTAAAGGTAGGAAGAAAAAAAATCAGGTAATGTGGTGCTATCAATCTCTTTGGCTGCATCTGTTTTCAGTTACTTATTTTAGCAGCTGAGGGCCCTTTGAAATCTGCAGTTACTGAAAAATTTTTCAGGAATGGATGAGTTGAGCTATACTTTGTTTCTGCTTTTGCTGTTTGCAACTCACTCGATAAGGAAGCGTTCTTTTCATCTTTGCTCATGTGTCTCTAGCTCTAGACATAATGACATATTTTCCTTTTTTGTTTTTGCTCAGGGATCTGTTGGATGATCTACATATTCCATGCTTTAGGGGCTGGAGTGATGTTAGAGAAACCTGCGGTCACCGGACACTTTGAAGCGTGGCTCCTTGGGGACACACTGCTGCGTGTTTTCCAGGGGTCACTGATCTGTGCTGCGAAGCTGCCTTAGTGTTTCATCAGGTAGAGAACTCTGGTTTCCAGGCTTGGAAATGGGTGTCACCTGCAGCCTGTGTACCTGCATAGCTGTGCCCCAATGTGTCTGTGCCCATGAACCCATTTCCCTTCTTGAAGGTGATCCTATTAGCACCTGTGGTGTCTATATGTTATTCACCTCTCAAGACACATGTCTCTCTGAACAATTCAAGATAACTGGTATCAACTAGTACCATTTTGCCTGGTGCTCTCAGGTTTACTTGCTTTGGGCGGGCAAGAAAACGGAATAACTCATGTCCTTCTGGGTGACCTCTTTTGAAAAATGCCTCATTTTCTCCTGGTTGGAAGAAACCCCTAATCTGCTCTGTCAGAAATTCTCCAACCAGAAACTAATTTTCTGTAACTAGATTCAGTATTTGTGTTTGGGGCTTCAACGTCCAGGAGCGTGGACATTGCTTGAGATCTCATGTGGACCGTAGGACACAGGCGTGGAGAAGGAAGTGGTGGCAACTCCTCGGGGCCCTGCGAGTTCTGCTTTGACAGCTTGTCCGAGGGCCTGCGGGGGAGTTTCCCTTGGCATGTGACAGAGGATTATTCCTTTGTCTTTCTGGTGTTGCTCTCATAAAGAGTCCCTCAAGATTCCCCTATAGGAACCAGTTTGTCCCTGGACTTCTGTTTTAGTTGACAAGGAGGAAATATTTTAATTCAAATTCCCCAGTTAAGAGAGAGCATATAGAGGACTTGTTCAGTCATGAACCAAATATGTTAATGAGCCAGAGTGATGTCCATGGTCACAGGCTGCCCACTGTTTCACCTACCTTGTTATGTGAATTTCGGCATCATACAGCAGAGAGAGTTTGAAGTTGACTGAATTATCTGCCTTGTTTTCCTCGTAGCTTTCACTATTGAAAGGAACATGAGGAAATTACTGACAGAGAAATATTAGAAGAGCCACCCATCATTAATTCATGACTTCATCATGTTTTACCTTAAGGCTTGGAAACTGACAGAGGCCTGATTCTGAAGGTTTTGAAGATTGAAGTCGAAGTTAATAGTGAAAGTCACCTATACACAAAATGAAAATTCATCAATCTATGATGCTTTGTGCTCCGGGACCAACATGAAAAAAAAAAAGTGTCCCATAAAAGTAAACTCACTCCCATTTGATTCTGAATTTTATAAACGTTAAGCTTTATAATTTGTAGAATATCTATGTATTTGTCCACCTTGCCTTACCTTCAGAATAGAACTGGATTCACCTGACATATACATACAACACATCACAGGCACTTACACTTATCTGAATTTGAAGGCTTTGTGCTGATGTAAAATTTGCTTACCAGGGGTTAAAAATGATATCCATGACTCTGTAAAGCACTTTGACCAGTGTTGGTCAATGTGTTCAGAAATAAAGAACTTTCTGTATCGTATGTGCCTTTGGGAATGAACTGCACAGGGGAAAATCCCACTTTTATTAGTAACTTAAAGAAAACATGCAGATATTTAAAAACTTCCTCTAAATATGCAGGCAACATTGATAGTCAAATGGATAAAGAAGATGTGGTACATATATACAACGGAATATTACTCAGCCATAAAAAGGAACGAAATTGGGTCATTTGTAGAGATGTGGATGGACACAGAGACTGTCATACAGAGTGAAGTAAGTCAGAAAGAAGAACAAATACTGTATATTAACACATATATGTGGAACCTAGAAAAATGGTACAGATGAACCGGTTTGCAGGGCAGAAACTGAGACACAGATGTAGAGAACAAACGTATGGACACCAAGGGGGGGAAGTGGCAGGGCAGTGGTGGTGGGATGAATTGGGAGATTGGGATGAACATATATATACTGATGTGTATAAAATAGGTAACTAATAAGAACCTGCTGTATAAAAAAAAAATTAAAAAAACACATGCAGGCAATTATTTTGTGGTGCCTGTCAAATGACGATACCTAATAAAGATGGTTCATTGGTTAACACTGATGGCAAGGAGGGGCCAGCATGGATTTAAAGATAAAATGCAAGGTGTACCTGTTGTTCCCTTTTTAAAGCAGGGTAGCCCACATTGCAGGTAACAGACTTCTGAGATGAAGCAATCTGGCATGTCACTTCTGTCCCATCAACCTGAATGAGACCAAGGAAACAATGATCAATTAGTATGCAATGTGTGTATGTGTGCATGCGCACGCACATACGTGCTGAAGGATGCATAAACCACCTGGAAATTCCAGCAGAAAGGTTGGTTCACACCAAGACTTGAAAATTTTGTATGAATTGTCCAAGTGGCTAACATACTATTTTTTTTTTTTTTTTTTGTGGTACGCAGGCCTCTCACTGTTGTGGCCTCTCCTGTTGCGGAGCACAGGCTCCGGACGTGCAGGCTCAGCAGCCATGGCTCACAGGCCTAGCCGCTCCATGGCATGTGGGATCTTCCCGGACCGGGGCACGAACCCGTGTCCCCTGCGTCGGCAGGCGGACTCTCAACCACTGCGCCACCAGGGAAGCCCCTAACGTACTATTTTTTATTGCTAAGCAGGGCACCCAGCAAGACAAAGGAGAGATCAAATACTGGAATTTTACCCAGAAATAAATCATATTTCTTATATTTCAGAAGCACAAAATAACTTTAATCCACTCTTTAGAAATGCTGTCTTTTCTCTCAGTATATTTCTCTCAGTATACTTTTCTCTCAGTATATTTTCAAAGTTGTAGTTTCAAGAGAAAGACAAATAAAATACAGTTTTTGTTTATACCTTAAATAATTTAAAGAATCATTTTAGTTTTCCTCAGGTTTTTTTCTCTTTAAAATAAGTTGTCATTTGGCACAAGAAATTTAAACACTGAAGTCAGAAGAGGTTTAGAACACTGAACCTATTAAGTTCACATTGACTTTAAACGGGATGAAACCATTTTTTAATCCTTTCATCAAGTAGTGAATTTGGAAAATCTCAGCTTTTTCCTTCTCTCCTTTTCACTGCTTGGTGGCAGAGGAGGGACCAGAGGGACATTCATGGGCAAGTGTGTTCCTGCTATAGCGATCAAGTCAACATGATTAACTGACCTCATTGGAATGCGGCATCTTGGCAGCAGCAAGACCTGTGGTTACTAAGCTCTGGCTGAGCTGTGGGACTCTAATTTCTCAGAGCAAGTGCAGCTCCCAGCATCTGTGCGGCACCGAGGAAGCCTCATCACACAGATGGCTTGAGGAGAGTTTATGGTAGAGTCTGGCTACTACTGCCAAGTGTCAGGGCAAAGGAAAACTGGCCCAAGCTGTGAAGCAGAATTGGTCTAGATACACAGCCAGGCTATGTTCCCAAGTGGTTTAACTAGTTGGGAGCCACAAGTCAGGATTGATCATGCTCAGGGTTAAGGTGTTTCTTCAGAAAACACAGAGGACATGGAGATTTGAGTATAAGGGAGACGGTAATTGACAACAAGTAGGAAACAGATCAGTTAACACAGGGTGCCTTCACATACCGGCATGGACCAGGAAGCAAAAAACAGATTTTCTGAAAAATCAACAACAATCCCACTGTTGTATGCACTTTCCTTTTTGTTTTTCAGTGTTACCGAAAATGTTAACCTTTTGTTTTGGTTGCTGACAATGAAGGGCTGTTGTCTGTTAAAAGTAAAAAGGAGAAAAAGAAAGTCATTACAGTTTCTTTTTAAAAAGCTAGTATTCAAATACTTTACTCATTAAAAAAAAAAAACCTCTTTAGATTTACTATTTAGAAGACTGAGAAAATTGCTTAATAATAAATTATCTTCATAGTAAAATAATATTGACAATGAATGACTAAATGCTACTGGATTTTTTTTGTTGCTTTTAATTACATTGCAGAAAAAAGCACCATCCAAATACAAGTGGTTTTATATTTCTTAGTGTTTTACTTCTATATGGATGAGAGAAATTGAAATTTATGTTTTTATTTAATTTTTTTATTGACGTATAGTTGATTTACAATATTATATTAGTTTGAGGTGTACAACATAGCAATTCAATCTTTTCAGAGATTATACTCCATTTAAAGTTATTACAAAATAATAGCTATATTTTGCTGTGCTGTACAATATATGCTTATTACTTATCTATTTTATATATGGTAGTTTGTATCGCTTAATCCCCTACCTCTGTCTTTCCCCTTCCTCCTTCACTCTGCCCACTGGTAACCACTAGTTTATTATTTTTAACTGTGAGTCTATTTCTGTCTTGCTATATACGTTTGTTTTATTTTTTAGATTCTCTATATAAGTTAGAACATAAAGTATTTGCCTTTCTCTGACTTATTTCATGAAGCATAATATGCTCTAGGTCCATCTGTGTTTATTGCAAGTGGCAGAATTTTATCCTTTTTACGGCTGAGTAATATTCCACGGGCCCAGCCACTCCACGGTATGTGGGATCCCCCCAGACCGGGGCATGAACCCGTGTCCCCTGCATCGGCAGGCGGACTCTCAACCACTGCACCGTCAGGGAAGCCCCAGTTTTTTGGTTTGTTGAGTTGTATGAGTTGTTTATATAGTTTGGATATTAACCCCTTATTGGTCATATCATTTACAAATATTTTCTCCCATTCAGTGGGTTGTCTTTTTGTTTTGTCAGTGGTTTCCTTTGCTGTGCATAAGCCCTTAAATTTAATTAGATCCCATTTATTTATTTTTGCTTTTATTTCTTTTGTCTTAGGAGACAGAGACAGAAAAAATACTGCTACAATTTATGTCAAAGAGTGTTCTGCCTATGTACTCTTCTAGGAGTTTTATGGTTTCAGGTCCTTACTCCATTTTGTGTTTATTTTTGTATATGATGTGAGAAAATGTTCTAATTTTATTCTTTTACATGTAGCTGTCCAGCCTTCTCAGCACCACTTATTGAAGGGATTGTCTTTTCTCCATTGTATATTCTTGCCTGTGTCATAGACTAATTGATCATAAATACATGGGTTTATTTCAGGACTCTCTATTATGTTCCAATGATCTATATATGTATTTTTGTGCCAGTACCATGCTCTTTTAGTTACTGTAGCTTTGTAGGATAGTCTGAAGACACTTCTAACTTTGTTTTTTTTCTCAAGATTGCTTTGACAATTTGGGGTCTTCTGTAGTTCCATATAAATTTTAGAATTATTTGTTCTAGTTCTGTGAAAAATGTCATGGGCATTTTGATAGAGATTGAATTAAATCTGTAGTTTGCTTCGGGCAGTATGGACATTTTAACAAAATTAATTCTTCCAATCCAAGAGCACAGGATATCTTTCCATTTCTTTGGATCATTTTCAGATTCCTTCACCAATGTTTTATAGTTTTCAGAGTATAGGTCTTTCACCTCCTTGGTTACGTTTATTCCTAGGTACTTTGAAATTTAGATTTTAAAGGTTTTTAAGAGTTATAGATGTTTCTGTTATAGAAAAAAATCTCTATAAACATTCACCCAAATGAAGTAATCTAATGTGTCTTTTATTTCTACAGTTTTCACTGAACTTTAAAGGAAAACTTACTGAGCTGCTGGCAGCTGTTGAACATCTAGAACTAGATCAGAGATGCAAACTCCATCATCACCACAATCTTTATAGAAAGGGATCTACAAAAAAGGAAAAATAATCCCGGAAATTTGCTCTTGAGTTAAGAAAGCAAATTGTGGAAGAACACATATAGTATTACTCCATTTACATAAAGTTCAAAACCATGCAGAACGAAACAGTGTTTTAGGAATACATACATGTTTAGCAACATCAGAAAGAAAAGCATTGATAAATGCAAAATTCAAGATGATGATTTGCTTTGGGGGAACAAGATAAAAGTGGGTATGATGGGGTGGGGAGTGATACAGAGAATTTCAGAGGTATTGGTACCATTTTATTTTTTTTTAAGTGGGTGGTGAGCACAAGGTGTTCACTTTATTGTTATTTATTTCTTCAACAAACATTTATTGAGCACCTGTGGTAGGCCAAACACTGCTCAAGGTGCTGGGAACAAGGAAAACAAAAATCCCTGCCTTCATGGAAATTACGTGCTTGTAATCTTTACATATAAGTAACTGTATTTCAATTAGAAAATTAACAACTTAAAGGCTATGTCCTAAGTTATCCTTCAAACACTAAGGCAGTGACTGTGAAACTTTGTCAGCTAGTCTGAATTCCAACAAGGGCAAACCACACTTACACTGAAGACCTTGACTGTCTCAGAGTAGGCTTCGAGGGCAGGGTTAGTGCCAGGGTTTTCCAGACTGATGTTCACACACAGATCCAGAGAGCTGACAACATCAGAGGGCTCCTAAACACACACATGCACAGAGTCAGTTGATTAGGGCATGGCAGCTTCAAAACAAGAAAACAACCACAAATGTGTTCATGATTAAGGACACAGTCTACTCTCAATCATGCAGAATAGCTCTGTTTTGAATTTTCAAGGGTCTTGCTTCTTCACTTCTGTTCTAAGTCTGCTCTTAGCCTCTCCACTTCTAAGAGACTTAAAAACCTGGGCTCAGTAAAAATTTGAAGCAGTAATTCTTAGTTAAGCTCATCAGTAATCTCATTATTTATACATAAGTAATTATCAATATTTAGATGAGATGCCCAGTTTTAAATGCTCAGAAGACACCTCTCTCAGTACCAAGCTCTAGGGCTGTCGGCCATGGTCTTCCAATTCCTATTGCCAAGACTTATGGAGTCCTTAGGTGTCCTGACCAAGTCTCTGGAAGAGAATATTAGGACCTACAAGGGAAAGAAGTGCCCAGGGTTGGCTGTCAGGAATGGACAAGGGGACTCCCTTCCTTAGAACCTAACTTTAGTCTACAAAACCAGATAAAAGTGTTTCCCACACTTCAAACCAAGCTCCCCAACTTCTGGCCTAGCTGACTGTTAGTGGCTGAACTGCTCTTTGCACATAGAAGATGATGCACGTATCACTCTACAGACATTAAAACCAACACCGTCCAGCTACAAGTACATTTCCTCTTTGCCTTTAGTAAAAACAGTGGAGGATTTGCAGTGTTCCAGGAGGCCTGGGCCGCTTCCGGTTTTTGAGGTTTCCTGTCTATTGAAAAATGAAAATAATGCTAAAACAGGGTTGTAAATGCCATCTAGCATTCTTCTTTAAGAAAGAACAATGTCTGTACAATGGTAAGCACAAAAAATGAAGTCTGCATTTTCCTAGAAGTGGTATCTTTATTATCTCTTAGTTCGTTCACAGGCAGGACTTACTCCTTTCTTGAGCCCTTTTGGAGGGGCCTGACCATTACGATGGCTTCCTGACTACAAGGAAATGTGTCCTCGGCTGGCTGCAGGGTTCGCACATAGGATGGACTTTGGTATTGATAGCAAATGTGGTGTGTTACCTGGAACACCTGTGGTCTTAGCTGACCACAATAACACACACCTCGTAAAAACTTCACAAATATACATATCAGAGAACAGGAGATATATCTATATACACACATACATACATACACCACAGCCTGGCTGTCTTCATTCCCCCACAATGGATTACACATTTAATTTGATCCACCACTTAGCACAAGGGTAAGAGAAAATGGAATCTGGCTTTTATTCCTTTAAAGAAGCTGTATAATTGGCACATTAACAACAACAAAGAAGTCCAGGCCTTCACAAAGAAGAAACCTTCAACTTGAATATAAATAACTCAACTGATTCTAGTCCATCCGACCATTAACTTTGTTTTTCCAACTCTTATACTTAGCATTTCTTGAGATGTTATCTCTGTACCATCCATCTACAACAGAAGTATTTGGGGACGCCCCTTAGACCTACGCATTCCTTGGACCTTCAAACCCAAATTTCTGGTGGTGGGGTTCCAGAATATCCATTTTATAAAAGTCTCCTAGGGCTTCCCTGGTGGTGCAGTGGTTGGGGGTCCGCCTGCCGATGCAGGGGACGCAGGTTCGTGCCCCGGTCTGGGAAGATCCCACATGCCGCAGAGCGGCTGGGCCCGTGAGCCATGGCCGCTGAGCCTGCGCGTCTGGAGCCTGTGCTCCGCAACGGGAGAGGCCACAACAGTGGGAGGCCCCCGTACCCCAAAAAAAAAAAAAAAAAAAAAAAAAAAAAAAGTTTCCTGAGTAACTTACACTTTCAAATACCATTACATGGTTTCTAGGGGGAAATATTCATGTAATTTATAAAATAGATTTCCTTTTAGTTTTCTCCTGAGAAGCACTTTTCCTACTTGGGAGAGTTTCAAAATCCATGTGAACTGTAGTAATTATGGCATAAGATTATAGCCAATAATTTTTACCTCATAATCTACCGTCCTTCACCTATATCAATTTAATCCAATAATGGAAAGGACAATTACAATTGTCCTTTTCAGTCGTTTAAAAATAAATAAAATTTCTTCTCATGTGAAAATGTCAAAATAAAATTTATTGTCAACTAAAAGTTCTTCCTGTTAAACATTTAAGAAAGCACTGTCCTTGATTTCTTTAAGAATCTTATTTTCAGCCCTTTTACTTGCAATCCCAAATAAAATTTAATGCAACTAACTTACACAATAATAGAATGTGACTGTATACACTAGTATAAAGGAAATACACTCCTGTTCATAGGTAAGAAAAGCATTAACTAGAAGAACAAGCATTTATCTAACTCATAAGCTTCCATTTTAGGCTTTCGCCATTCATTAGTCTTTAAGAAGAAATGAGATGAAAGGGATGACTCTGAGGCCTTACCTGTATGTGGATGATGTACTCAGAGCAACTCTGTGCTTGATTTACTATCATGGTCTTCTGCAAGCACCTTTCATTATTTTCTTTAAATAATCCCCTGGAGGTTACTCTGGGTGAATACTGGTCTGCATCAATTGTGATGTTATATACAATGGCTATAATAAAAGTCATAAAGAAATGTTATTACAAATAAACTTCTAAGGAAAAAGCATCCCCGTTTTATCGTGTCTTACTGGGTAAAGTCTTTGACTTCAAGAAAACAAAAACCAGTCTTTCTATTGATGGACTGTGAACCATGGATGGCCTATGATATTTGTAATTCTAGCTCTGGTATGATGTGTCAATACGTGACTGTGGATGCAAAGAAATGTGATTCAAAGAAACATGGCTTGATGCAGTGGAAGGAAAAGTAGATTCGCCCCCAGGAAATCTACTGAATGAAGTTGGTCAAATTACTTCCTCAAATACTGGTTTCATTGTCCATAAAGTGGTGACATGAAAAGGAAAGGAACTGTTGAGTGCCTATCTTATACAAGTTTTACAATAAACCTGGAACGTGGATATTATTATCCTATTTTTCAGATTATGAGCAGAATATTATCCTATTTTTCAAAATAATTCACCCCAGTTCATACAGCTAGGGCATGGTCAGAAATAAAGTTTGGGTAATTTTGAAATCAGATCCCATGTTCCTGCTGTTTCTATGCAGTTTTGAGGATTCACTGTTATTTGAGGATTAAGTTAGATACTCTAAGGGGACATGTATCGTGCCTGGCATATTCTAGATGCTTACTTGGGGAAAGGCAGGTAACATTGCAGTAACAAGTTTTGAATCAGACGGATGCTTTGAATCCTAATCCCACCATTTACGAGCTTTAGGCAATTTGTCTAACCCCTTTGAACCTCCATTTCCTCATCTATAAAACAGAGATAATAATACTAACCTAGGGAAATGGAAATGAGAAATGTGATAAAAATTGATGTCAGTAGCCAATGTCCAAACTATCAGAACCTTCAATAAAGTCTGCTGGCTACATGTCCAAAACTGACAGAGAAGATCTCATACTATTAATAGCATCAACTGCCTTATTTGGGATTACTCTTATTACTTCCAATATTTTAAAGGTTGAATATACTTCCAAAAGCATTCTATGTGTTACCTTTCAAATATCTGTTAGAAGTGATGTATAATTTTTCTTGCTCCCATGACTTAATGAGGTTAACAAAGATAAAATACAAAGGAATCAAGAACTAAAAATAAATGGTGAAAATAAAGCAAAGGAAAAGTTATGCTGGGGAAGTGATTGTGGCTAGGACAAAGTTAGTAGGTGTGTTAATTATACTGTTTTATTTTTTTCCAACAGCTTGGTAAAAATGATACATAGTCACATAGGCAATATAATAATCCTTTTTATGTTATTAACTTTAAACTGGAGTGTGCACCTGATGCAATAAATAATAGAAGCCATATGCTTTATAAATTCACTTTGCAAAGTCACAGAGTTGGGATTCCTGTCTTACATACTATTATTGCCAGGTAATTAAGTGACAACTGATCGTGACTGTGTGGACCTAAGGCACTAAGAAGAAGGATTCAAAGGGAAAGATGCCCAATAGCAGGAGACCCTAGACAGTGAGTGGAAGGGAATGTAATTCTCAAAGCAGAATATGCCCTTTTTGAGTGTGTGGCAACAGAAGAGTTGAAGTACAGTCAAAAATTGGGAGGAAGGGCTTCCCTGGTGGCGCAGTGGTTGAGAGTCCGCCTGCCGATGCAGGGGACGCGGGTTCGTGCCCCGGTCCGGGGGGATCCCACATGCCGCGGAGCGGCTGGGCCCGTGAGCCATGGCCGCTGAGCCTGCGCGTCCGGAGCCTGTGCTCCGCAACGGGAGAGGCCGCAACAGTGAGAGGCCCGCGTACCACACACACACACACAAAAAACAAGCAAGCAAAAAATTGGGAGGAAGATACATGAGACAAATCCATGCTTCAGGGCCAGGAGAGGTGACCTACCAGTCATTTCTGCCAACTAATAGATTTTCCAAATTAATCTTTGATATTTAATGTTTTATTCCCCCAGATTCACTGAAATATCACTGACATATAACATTGTGTAAGTTTAAGGTATACAACATAGCGATTTTATATATTGCAAAATAATTACCACAATAAAGTGAGTTAACATACCCATCACTTCAAAAAGTTACAATTTTTTTGTGTGTGGCGAGAACTTTTAAACTCTCTCAGCAACTTTCAAATATACAATACAGTATTGTTAATGAAAATCACCATGCTCTACGTTCCATCTAGCCACTTTATGTTTATACAGTAATGGTTTTTGACTCAGCTATCGTGGCTACTGAGATGGACGTGCCACAAGGCAGGTCTGTGAGATGTGCAACTCAGAGTTCGGTCAGTGTTTGAACACGTGAAAGGAAAAATGCCAGATGAATATGAAAAGTAGGAAATATGGAAAGCGTGCCAAGATGTGAATCTAACTTTTTGTGTTCGTAAGCTATTTATTTCTTGGTATGAATCATGACAAATAACCTACCTCTTATGTTTTTACCCTTTAAGCTAGTTTATTTGTTCACCACCTAATGAAATAGCTGTAGGAACTACGGGTTTCTAAATTTTAGAGCCAAAATCTGATGGAGGGGGATTAGGGCCCATGAAACAGTAGCAAATGAAAGAAGGTAGTGTTGATCAAGTGCTAAATCAATGGCTACGTATTGAGGGAGCTGAGACAACTGGAGCAGGAGAGATAGAGGTGAGATGCAGTGGTTAGAAAGACATCAGAGAGCTTGTGGGACCTCAGCCAGGCCCTGGCAGATGACTGGACCCATCCAGGGAGAGAGAACAACAGCTTCTGCTGACATCTGCACACAGCCTTCCCTACTCTCCCCTGCTGATAGGACATGCTTCAGACTTTCACTCACTTCTTTGGATTATTCAGAAAATGTAAAACACTGGGCACAAATTATATATTGTTTTATGCTTTCTCATTATTTCATGCTTATTAAATTTTTAAGAATAGGAATATTTGATCCTTGTACTGAACACACTCTATCGAGATCATGGCAAAGCCAACATACAGTGTACTCATTTAATACGGGCTTGAGCTCAGTGCAATCTGTGCGTGCCCATGGTTTTCAGTTAGGAAGGTGTGGGTACGAGAGACTTAAAGGACAGATTGGGAGAGCCAGTGATTATGTCACTGAAATTATGACCTTCAGCAGCAGAATGTTACGTTCTAGAGATGACGGTCGAAGGTCTAAACAAACTTTCCACGCCAAATTAACCATTCTCAGGCACCTCAAATATGTGGCAATTCAAATGTCTGCAAGACCTTTATTTCTTTTGGTTTCCAAATCCAAAGTATGGGTTATGTTCAGGACTAAAACTCTATAAGCAAAACTATCTGTTGTATAGATTATTTCAGGTTTACTCACCCACTTGATTGTTTTGCTTAGCAGGTCTAAACTTGGCGCTGAAACAGAGTTTAAGGTTTATCTCAGCGTTCTTGTTGAGCAAAGTGATTTTTTCTGGTGTGAATGAAGCAACTACAGATACATCAGCAATACTCTGTGACCTGAAAGACATAAATGTTAAAAAAATTATTCTCAGGAAGTTACCCAGAAAAACCAGTCTTAGCACCTTATAGTAATGTGACCACAAAACGGCATTAATCTAGCTTAACTGATCCCCTCAATAAATTGATTTGACTCCATGTGTCTTGACTTTTTAGAAGAATCAAATTCACCTTCAAAGAAAAAAGTTTGGCCACCATGGACTATCTAAAAAGGGAATGTCATAATATAGTAAGTGTATAGCCTACCAAGCATGAGGCCAACCAAGGTGGCTATAGGATGATGTTCACTGAAAGGTATGATTTCTTACAAAATTGTTTACAAATGAGCCATATAATTATGTGTAATCATACCTTGTATTATTTTAATGCTACTTTTAACTGATTTTAACTGATTTTATTCAGTAAATATATTTTCTTTTTTTCAAAGTCTTAAATATTATCCTTGAGTTTTATTTTTTCCACATGAAGTTTTCATTAAAATGATGCACTAAGGAACTTCCCTGGTGGTCCAGTGGTTAAGAGTCTGTACTTCCACTGCAGGGGGCAGGGGTTCGATCCCTGGTTGGGGAACTAAGATCCCACATGCCGCGCACAGCGCAGCCAAAAAAAACCAATGCTGCACTGAAAACAATGCACTTCATCCTTTAAAAGCACAAGTGAGATACTGTTAATAGCTTCATTGAACTCAATGTAATTTACTCAATAGGTAATTTTGTTTTTCTGTTCTTGATGTATTTGGACATTTAAAACACATTTTTCAGCAGACATGAATGGATAACTGAACTATATTTTCTTGGGGACTCTTGATCAAAGTCTCTATTTCTTTTTGATTCTAGTCCTTCGCCAGCCCAATATATTTATTTTTGTCCTTGACTCACATGGCCCTTGAATCCCTTATTGTTCCCCACATGCTCTTCACCTCCTCCTGAGGTCAACGAGAGGTCAGCTAAACCTAAATAATAGCTTCTTGTTTATGACCAATAATTGTAAAAGATACCTTTTAACCACATGAGAAGTTGCACTTTACTTGTGTGGTCTCAGTGTTCAGTATTTTTAGAGCATTCTCATGAGAATTCTTTTCTGAAAGCTGAGGTAAGTCTATTTGGAAGATGATAATCAGAAATATCCTGAATACCATTTCAAGACCTTTGTCTTTTCAATGTACTTTTTCTGCTCACTATATAGAGAAGAGAAACTTGATTCTAATGTTAAGCAAATATTTTTTTTCCTCCCACCAGGAAAAACATATTCCTTCCTCTATGCAAACTATGACATATAAATGTCTTAGAGTCTTATATAACACATGTGACATTTCAATAATACTGGCACAGCAATCTGCTCTACTTAGCAGCCCATTTGTTCCTTAGCTAATTTGTGTCTGGCTCTCACTGACTCACCAGAGCTGAATGACCTGTCCAAAGGCACCAACAGACACATCAGTGATGGAATCCCCATTTAAATCTCCATAGCCATCCAGGGATCTCCCAAAGTACTGGAGGTGGCTCCTAAAGGCTCCATCAGACCCCAAGATTTTCTAAAAGAGCAAGTTTGAGATGAAATTATAGTGCATGACGACTGAAACAGAAAAAAGGCAGCATCTACATTGCCCTGGTATGTTCTTTTTTTTTTAAATTTTATACTTTAGATTTATTACAGGAATAATCATACTTTTAAAATTTATTTATTTATTTACTTATTTTTAACATCTTTATTGGAGTATAATTGCTTTACAATGTTGTGTGTGTTTGTGCTTTTTAACAAAGTGAATCAGCTATACGTACCCATATATCCCCATATCCCTTCCCTCTTGCGTCTCCCTCCCACGCTCCCTATTCCACCCCTCTAGGTGGTCACAAAGCACTGAGCTGATCTCCCTGTGCTATGTGGCTGGGGCTTCCCACTAGCTATCTATTTTACATTTGGTAGTGTATATATGTCCATGCCACTCTCTCACTTCGTCCCAGCTTACCCTTCCCCCTCCCCGTGTCCTCAAGTCCATTCTCTACTTCTGTGTCTTTGTGCCTGTCCTGCCCCTAGGTTCTTCAGAACCATTTCTTTAGATTCCATATATATGTGTTAGCATACGGTATCTGGTATGTTCTTTACATGGCCGTTTCCCAGGTTGTTTTATTCTCCACAGAATTTCATTGATTTTTCAATCACATCTTATCTGATCCGATTATCATTCTTGCAGCCACATTTTCATCAAAGAAATAGCATGAATCTCTCCCATAAAATAACAAAGCAGTGAAAGATCAGTGGACTGGGAAGGAGCTGATGCAAGTTTGGGTCCTGATTCTTCTCCTAGCTCATTTCCTTCAGGTCTTTATTCAAAAGCTGCCTTCTCAGTGAGGCTTTCTTGGTCACCCACTCAAATACCTGATATCTCCCAGCCCTGAAAATTTATTCCCTATTTTAGTTTTTTAAAATTCCTTATCATTTATTATTATCTGGATTATTTTATCTTATTCATCTCATTTTTTCCCCTGTCTCCTCCACAAGAATGGAAGATCTACAAAGAGCACAATTTTGTCTGTCCAGTACTTTACAGCATTCCCAGAGACTTATCAGCGCTTGACACACAGTAGAGGTTCACGAAGCATCTGATGAATGAGTGAATGAAGTTATAAAACAAGAGGGGTGGATTGGATGGTCCGCATGATACTCTCTAGCTCTAAAGTTATGATACTCACATGTAAACAATCACCACGAAACTGGATTACCTGGGAATACCTCAGGCGAATGGTGCCCTCATGGCCATTGTAGATGTACACAGCTCCAGAGTTCTGATTTTCCAAAGGTGAGCCAACGATCACATCATTAAAGCCATCCATATTGATGTCTGAAAGAGCTGCAATGGCTGAACCAAACCGAGCATTTTCAACACCCTCGGGGCCTTCCAGAAATTGGTGCCAATTCAAAACGCCCTTGCAAAGGGGAAAGGGGACAATTAAAGCAAACCTTACGTTAACATATACACACTACTATATATAAAATAGATAACCAACAAGGACCTACTGTATGGCACAGGGAATTATACTCAATATTTTGTAATAACCTAAAAGGGAAAAGCATCTGAAAAAGAATATATCTATATCTGTTTATATATGTGTAACTGAATCACTGTGCTGAACTGAAACTAACATGACATATTGTAAATCAACTATACTTCAATTAAAAAAAGAGAAAAGCTTACAATTTTTATAATTAAAATTCACAGCAAATGATGCCCAAACCAATTTGCAAACTGTTAAAAATGGATAGGATTTTAAACCTAGAATTCCAAATTCTCTATTTATGATGAGACATACAAAAAATTTTTTTAGCAAGTAAGGTCATAGGCAATCAATCCGCTAATAAACCAAGGTGAAAGGAAGCAATTCTCTTTACTGTGGCTGCACAACCTACATAAAAGTGTCCATTTCTTTGTCTTTTTTTCCCCCTTAATATTAGAATCCTCACTCATCTGTTTCCAAATTTTTTGATTTAAAAATTTTCTGGTAAAAAATCTACTAATCTCTTCAATAAAATTAAGGTAGAGACAAAATAAAACACAGTATCTTAATTTAGTCCTTTATTTAAAAACTACTGAACAACAGAGGCGTAATTATAATGGCATAGAAAGTGAAAAATGAGATTGTTATAAGACACACTGAATAATTCTGCCAAAGAAAAGACATTTTCTTGTGAAAGACACAGTCGTGTGGTTTTTTTCCTTCAGATTTTGAAATCAAGAATGGAAATATTTCATGACTTCATAAGAAAGCAATGCTTCTCACCCATGAAACTGGGTCAGTGTTGATTCCTTCTCCTCTATAATAACCTTATGGAAATCAATTTGTTGCTGAGTCTGGTAAAATACTGGAAGATCTTCTCACCTTCAACAATTAATGATAATTCAGACTGACTAGCAAGAAACATTTAAGAAACTGGGGATTTGTTAAATTTCCAAACTTCCCTTATTAAATATTCAATTGCACATCCATTATATGCTTTAAAATTGTTTTAACTGCTTCTGATAAAGGGCTAACTCTTACATTAATTTAAATAAATAAGGTAGGACAAACTATCACAACAGATAATATTTACTATATTAATATTAGCTTCTCTTTTTCCAACCTTTCTGTATCTGGTCATCTAATTTTCTGTGTCAACCTGTGCCTTTAATTTTGGTTTTCTTTCAGGTTTCACTAAGTTCTCTATACTTATGTGCATGGATTTAGAGAGTTCAGTCTGCAAGTTGGAAAAACTGGGCTTTTCCATGTTAGAGTATGCTTAGTTTTATGTACAAGAACTGGAATTTCCAAGACTTGGATATATACCTAAATGTTACACTAAGCAATGGAATTTCCTGACAAACTACTGTAGAAAGCATCCAGGAATATATGGAGGTTTCTAAAGTGCCTGGTAAAATTTGTACTTACCACTGTAAAATATTAACAAGGTAGCTTTGCCCTGTTATTGATATACCTTTATAGCAAAGAAGAATAATTGAATGAGATACTTGGGAAATGCACAGATGTTTGTGTGTGCGTGCGTGCGTGTGTGTGTGTGTGTGTATTTCAAAAAACAATGTGCATTTATAATGACTTTATTTGTAAAGAGAATATGTATTCAAAGACCTCGTGGAAAACGGCAGGGCACTATACGTTAAGCTCTAAGTTATGATTATCAATGTGATTTTTAACACTATAACTTAATGGTGACATCCTCAAAATGATGAAATATAAACCATACTCTAGGACTTCCCTGGTGGCTCAGCAATTAAGAATCCGCCTGCCAATGTAGGGACACAGGTTCGATCCCTGGCCCGGGAAGATCCCACAAGCCTTGGAGCAACCAGGCCCGTGCGCCACAACTACTGAGCCTGTGCTGTACAGCCTGTGAGCCACACACCTAGAGCCCATGCTCCACAACAAGAGAAGCCACCGTAATGAGAAGCCCGTGCACCACAACAAAGAGTAGCCCCCGCTCGCCGCAACTAGAGAAAGCCCGTGAGCAGCAACCAACGCAGCCCAAAATAAATCAATTTATCAATAAATAAACCATACTCTATATGAAAATTATCATTCAATAATAAATTTTCTTAATTCTGCAAGAATGCAAATTAACTTTTATCTACCAATACTAAAGCAAATCAAACGAAGTCAGTTTAATAATTTTTTTTTTTTTACCTTTGTGATAGTAAACAGGTAGACTCTTCCTTCCTCTTTCTTTAGGTCATTCATGTACATTGGCGCACCTACCAAGAGCACATCTGTAATGGTGTCTTTGTCCACATCGACTGCACACAGCACACTACCAAAATAGGAGCCAATCTGGAGTAATAAAGCATATCAGCCTTAGGATTCCTATACTCCTAGTATTACGCTGAACTTCTGTTTACTCATTCAACAAGCAAAAATTGAGCATTCATTGCCTGTAAGGTGCTAGGTACCTAAAGATGGATAACATAGCCCCTTCTCTCCGGTTGTATCACAATCTAACATTTGGTTCTTAGACCTTAGGGTGCACAAAAATCACCAAAAAAGTATCTGTAAAATACAGATTCCTGAGACCCATTTCCAGAGATTCTGATACCATGTCCATGGGGTGATCAAGAAAACAGTATTTTAAGTAAGCACTCCAGGTGCTTCTGATGCTGGTGGGTAAACGACCACATTTAAGAAACACTTAGAAACTTTGTGAGATGTTGTACACAAAGGCAGGAGGGGAAGAGGGAGGCGGAGCAAATAATTGTGCTTCCGTGGTAAAATATATGATAATAGAGGCAAGCAGCAAATGCCGTGTGATCAGAGTGCACAGGAGTCAGAAAGGCTTAGAAAGATTAAGTATTATTTGAATTGCATCTTAGAAGATGGCAAGGAAGCTGCTAGGTGGAGTGGAGTGGGAAAGCACGAGCGATGTAAGTGTCCATGGCATGATCTGGGACAGTAGAGTAGTTCCCAGATAGACTGGGCTGGAGAACTAGCTGCCGATAAAAGGAAATGAGAGGCTGGGAATCTGAATGATCATCACTCCATCCAACCAAGCTTCAACGTATGCCTACGTGAATGCCTCTTGAGGATTCAGAAATGAATCAGAAACGATTCCTTCCATAACACTTGCATTACTTTTCTCAAAATAAAAGCACCCTTCTTTAAAATATGAAAGAGGAGGGAAAAGTATGTGACCACAGCTGGTTTGTGGTCAAGGAAGTCAAAGACTCAGATCTTCTTACTCCTGGAAAGCCCATAGAGACAGTGGATCAGATTTAATCCCAGAGAAGGGAAATCTGTGGATAGTCGGTTTCTCTGATTTAAGGAAGAACATCTTCTGTTGGCTGTTAGAGTTCAGTGATGCTCATTTCAAATATGTGCTAAGTCCATGAGTCAAAAGTACTTGGCAAGGATATAGGAATCCATCAGCTGGCCTTTGCTCTCGTGGGCCATGACTGGGCGGCGTCACAGGTTCTGACTACCAAACCGTCACACATCAGAAGAAAGTGGCAGAGCAGGGAGTTGTTTTACTTTTAGAAATGTCAAAGCCACAGGACACCTCGACAAGCCCAGATGTCGTAGTTCAGTCTTTATAATGCTATCCTGCTCCCTTCTTCTTATTTCTCCTCCAGGTCCTTGGCTCCTTGTAGGGGCTTGCCTACAAAGCACTGGTTAGGTGCCTGTCATCACTGGGCTTTAATGACAGCTTCACCCCATGAAAGCTATGTGGCCTTAGAAAGGTAGTTAAACCCTCAGTAACCTGTCAAAAGGGGATGGTAGATCTCAGTACTGTTGTGAAGATTTAAGGAATATTCAAGTAAACACAGATTACAGAGCCAGCTACAGGATAGGCACTCAATAAATGTTAGTTTCCATTTCTACTAACTCCCCACCTGTCCTGTTGTCCCTGAAATTAATTTCATCTTCTTAAATGATGGCATTTACCTGGTCACCTCTGTGAGACTGAATAACTGTGATATTGCCACTCTCATTAACACTGTACAGCACTATCTGGCCGGTATAATTTGCCCGGGGAGCTCCAGCAACAAAGTGGACACTTTTTCCAGTAGAAACTGAAGCCACAGAGTAACCTAGGAGAGAAGGGGTCACAGAGTAGATAGTACTGAATATCTTGGCCAGATAGGCTTGTGAATTTAGCAGAGATGATCAGAGGTCCTCTTCGTTAGTGTGACGCAGGGCACATCCTCCTTTTTCTAAGATAAACTGCTTCTGTCCCTTGGCCACCAGCACTGCCCAGTGGAGGCGGGGCATCTCCCTATAAAGCTGGCCCTAGATTCTGGGTTGTCCCCATCAGCCACTCATGAATCTGACACTCAACCAATATTTCTTGAATGAATAACTAAATGAATTTAAAAGGTGGAAATTTGCACAGTGGAAAGAACATAAGCTGTGGAGTCAGACAGTCCCAGGTTCAAATTTTAGACTTGCCACTTAGTAAGTTTTTTTATCTTTAGGCAAGTAATTAACCTCTTTGGCTCTCAAAGGTAAAATGAGGATAATAATATTTCCTTCAAAGGGTAGCTGGGGCTTCCCTGGTGGCGCAGCGGTTGAGAGTCCGCCTGCCGATGCAGGGGTCACGGGTTCGTGCCCCGGTCCGGGAAGATCCCACATGCCGCGGAGCGGCTGGGCCCGTGAGCCATGGCCGCTGAGCCTGCACGTCCGGAGCCTGTGCTCCGCAACGGGAGAGGCCACAACAGTGAGAGGCCCGCGTACTGCAAAAAAAAAAAAAAGAAGGGTAGTTGGAAGGGTTAAATGTTACGTAGATAGAACAGCCAACTCAGGAGCTGTCCCGTAGTAGGTGCTCGAAATTGGTGGCTGCTTATTACACGAACAAAAAGACTAGGAACTCCAAATTGATATAAGACTACCACTTACTGTACTGACTCTTAGGAACTATTTCTATTTTGGAGAAACACAATCATGTCCCAGGAATAACAACTGCTGGAACAGCCAGAAGAGATTAATGAGTCAAATACACAGCGTTTCATTAAGTAGTTACGGGCTAAGGCCTGAGTGGCAAAGAGGCAACAGAAATATGTGCAACAAACATAACAATTAGAGGACAGCTCAAGCACTTTGCTGAACTGACCCCGAGAGTCAACAAGACGCTAGTTTAAAGGATGGGATTTAAATTTGCTGAGCCAAATGCTGCTAGGCCTTACCTAAATATGAACTGTGATTTCTGTCTTGCAGAATTTGGTCAAAGGCTTGTTTAGGAAAGATCAAATGTCCATGAGGTGTCTGCTGGACAACAGTCCCACTCCAGTCATAAGCTCCTACTGCACCCAGCATCAGAACATCCTAAAATAATTGAAAAATGAAAAGCATTAACATCATCTGTAAAGCATAAGAGTGTAGTGTGTGCCAAACACTGAAACAAATGGTCTAAATTTAAAGAAAAAAAAAATAAGCATGATGAAGTAAAATGTATATGAATTGCTAAGAAGAAAAGAGACAACAGCCCAAAAATGGAAACACTTGTGCCAAGCCCACATCACCAAACCCAGACTTAATACCGAACCTAATTGCAGTTTCAAATGCCCCCCTCCCAGGAATGTGATCTTAACCGGTCAGTTTGGAATTTCCTGGTCAGCACTAGTGAGGTAATCCACCTGATAGAGCCCTTCTGTCCCCTACAGGAAGGTGACCTTGCCTGAACAAATACAACTGTTTCCCCTTCTGCCTGTAAAAGCCTTTCATTTTCTACAGCTCCTTGGAGCTCCTTTCTGTTTGTTAGATGGGATGCTGCCTGATTCATGAATCATTAAATAAAGCTGCTTAGATCTTCAAATTCACTCAGCTGAATTTTGTTTTTTTAACAGACTGTGTGTTGATAGATCTCTGAATTGTTCTGATATATTTTGTGCCGGAAAAGAAGCCTTCCAACGGGCTATGTTACCTTGGGCTTTGTTTAGTACAACACATTTTAAAGATAAATCTGTACCACAGCACAGGAGGGGCACATAGCCATCTTCAAATTTCCACACAAAGACACACGTTTGCAAATGCCAAACAGTTGTGAGCCTTTAGAAAGGAGTCAGAAGTGAGCCTCCAGCCTCACATACTCCTAGGAAGAGCTCGGGATATGAGGCATCCTCCAGAAACAGGACGTGCTGCTGCCAGAGGAGAGGTGGGCGCTGCTACTCCAGACCTGTCGTGCTGGCCCTCTTCTGACCTGGTCTATCTTCAACTTCTTTCTCTTTCTTCTTTACTCCTTCTCAAATGTTCCTCTAATCCTCTCTAATCTATCCCATCTATTTGAATATGGCACAGCTACAAAAGGAACCTGAAGCTGTGACACTTGATATGAGAAGAAACCGCCATTGGTCAGCACCAGTGGGGAAGGGCCAAAGAGGACAGGCCACTCGGGATTGACTCAAAACCCAATCTGAATATTCGAAGGTACAAGTCATCACAGAAGATAGGGTTGGTCAGGATGGGACTTCTTATTTTTAAGTTTTTGATCTTAGATCTTAGAAAACATCAAAGATACGATTTGGGGGGTTTTTTGTTAATATTTTTAAACTTATTTTATCGAAGTATTTACAATGTTGAATTAATTTCTACTGTACAGCAAAGTGATTTGGTTATACATACATTCTTTTTCATTTTCTTTTCCATTATGGTTTATCAAGATATGATTTTGGAATGAAAAATACAAAGCCAATAAAAAAAGAGCAAACAGGGAAATAATGTGTCCCATTTTGAGGATAAGAGACCATGAAATTATGTGAATGACTGTCATAAACCCAGGACTCTGAATCTGGGTGCAGGAAGGGGCTTCAGGGAGTGTACAAAACCTCAGGAAATTGTGTGAAAAATTCTCTCTGTGTGGGTTCACTTAGATTTTTTCTGAGGGAAAGACCCATAACTTTAATCTCTAACACTTGGTGATCCAGAAAAGGTTAGCACACCTTTTATTATAGAGAGAAATAAGGTGATCCTGGTCCTTTATTCTGCCAATCAAATCCTCTGAGTTCATACTGTTCCCTGAGCATTTCCCAGTGTCACCTGTCTCTTTGCCTCTTTTACTATTATTACTACTGCACTTATATCCTGAGTAGAATTAGAATCAGAGGCCTGCAAGATGGATGTTTCTAAGAAAGAATGGACTTCCCTGAGCTAAGAAGATGTCCTATCTCACTCTTTTCCTAACTCCTTACTTTTTCAACTATTTTTTTCTGTCTCTGCTCTTAGAAAAAAGATACGCCGGCAACTCAGAATTCAACAACAGTGATGACAAGAGTGTGTGTTTTAAATAAATTTTTCCAGTAGTTAATTGATATAAAGAAAATTCCTGCAGTGATAATACCTTGAATTAATATAGTGCCTGTTCCCTGGAGCACTCAAAAGCTTTCTTGTATATTATCATTTTTTTCCCATAAAAAAATCCCTGTGATATATGGAAGGGAAGGCAGTATTAACCTCTGTTTTTCAGATGATAAGCCAGCAGAGCAAAGAAACTAAATGACTGTGACTAGAAATGAGAACTGTTGATCACTAGATGGCTGTTTTTCCCACTTTAGTATGGGGTTACTGCACCCAGAAGTATTAAGGCAAATGTTATCTGATATACACACATTTTGAGGAGAGTAATCTGCGCTGAATCCCACTTGTGACATTTCCATTTGGAAGTTGTCTCCTCCTTGAACAGTACCTAGGAAACAGTTTCAAAAATCATATCACTGTTATCAGTCTTAAATAAAATTTTCAAACACATGTGCACGCACGCACACGTGTGCGCGCGCACACGTGTGCGCGCACGCACACGCACACACACACACACACACAAAGTGTTCTGATGTCCACTCGAAAATATAGAGCTGGCAGATTCTGAGAGAGGAATCTCTAAGGAAGTGTTCTAACAGATGTAGAAATCCACAATGCTTCTGAGGCAGTGTTTGAAGTTGGCATTAATCTTGATCACACATTAATGTATTTATTGGCATACTTATGAAATTTCTGATATCAGAGAACACTCAGCATAGGGGATGAGGTAAGATGAAAACTGACTTGATTATCTTTTTTAAGAAAATTATCATTACTTGCTAAGAACCTAACTGAATTTTTAGCTTTTAAATATTTGTAGTAATAAATGCACATATATCTCAGATGCAGTTGGAGGAGCCAGGCGATTGCTCTGTAGTGAAGACTGTGCTGAGAGATATTTGGATTAGGCTTCAGGAACTAGGATTCAAGACTGAGTAGGAATTTTACCAATTGGGAAGTTGGTCCAAGTTCTACATATGTGCTTGCCTCTGACACTAGCACCATAAGACTCAATTAGAACTCATTTTCCATACATGTGGCCAAAGCGGTTACATTTCACTAATCTTCGCAAAAAGGAAGCTAAATTTCTGGACTGCCACATTAATGTAGAGAAGAATAAAAGTTTTTAGATAGACCCTTCCAGTGGATAATCAGGAGGTAAAGATCTGACTATAGGGATTAATACTTAATTTACACAATCCCCTTGGATCCAGCTTCTGAAGCAGTACTTGATCATAGTAGGTGCTCAATAAAATATGAGAGTTATTTGGGTTAACCATCAGGAACCAGGATTTGGGTCATGTGGGACTTTTTACCAACTAGGAATTGTGTTCTAGGCCTGCTTATAGTGAGCTCTTGAACACATGATATTTCTATAGAGACTAGACCTTCCAAGGCCATAGAAGTAAATTATTGTAGATCTGGTAAGTAAAATGTTTCCTCAAAATCTGAACTATTAAAAATCTTCACTGTATTTTTCTAATTTTAAAAGTGTATGTGTTTGTTGCAAACAAATTCAAGAATTTCAGAAATTATGTAACAGTGTAAAAAGGTAAAATTTTTTTATGATTACAAAAACTGTTTACAATATGGAAAGGTAAAACTATTTACGATTATAATAGATATTACTAAGTTGCCACCCCAAAAGGTTATACAGTTTATAATCTTATAGTGTATGAGCTTTTTTGCTTCCCCATAATCTCTCCAAGATTAAACATTACTAATCTTTGTTATCTTTTAGACACAAAGTATTACTGATTTCATTTATACTTTAAAATAATTACTAAAATTGGGAATATTTTCTTATGTTTATTGGCCATTTGTATTTTCTCTTTTATAAACTACTTACTCATCATTCTTTGTCTATTTTTCTTACTGATGCTATTTACGAGTTCTCTTTATATAAGGTATATAAGTTAACATTAATAGAACAAGTATGGTAATAAAGAATTCCTTTTTTTAAGGTTTTTGAAGAACATGTTATTTTATTTTTAATTTTTATTAGAGTATAGTTGATTTACAATATTGTGTTAGTTTCAGGTGTAAAGCAAAGTGAGTCAGTTATACATATACATATATCCACTCTTTTTTAGATTCTTTTCCCATATAGGCCATTACAGAGTACTGAGTAGAGTCCCCCGTGCTATACAGTAGGTCCTTATTAGTTATCTATTTTATATACAGTAGTGTATATAGGTCAATCCCAATCTCCCAATTTATCCCTCCCCTGCTTACAACCTGGTAAACATAAGTTTGTTTTCTTGAAAAAAATTTGAAAGAAAATTCTGGAAAGAAGGAGTTCATTTACCTTCAATGCTGAAGATTTGTTCTCCTAATGTCCCAGCCTTTTCTAGTAGAGCTGCTTCATCAGAAACATTGAAAAAGTATCTTTCTGTTGGAATACTGGCAATTGCTTTAATTTCTTTTATTAAATTTTTAGTATCAAGGGCATTTCTGTTTAAGTACCCAAGAACCTTGAAAACAGAGGAAGAGGGGAGAAGGCCATTAGTGTTGTACCTCCATTTTCCTATTCGTATTTTCTAGGCTATCTCTGAACACAATAGGCCCTCTAGAGAAGTAAATCAAGTAACACTTCCATAACCTCTTCATTGACAGGACTGCAAATCAGCAAGAAGCAGAGGTAGAGTAAAAATACTCTTTTATATTAAGCTATGAACAGCCAATAAGAAAGTGCAGTCTTCAGAAGTGATGTTATAAAGGAATATTTACCCATCAACTGAAAGACAAGTAAAAAGAAAAGCCACTTACTGCTATGCCAAACCTCAGTATATTGTCATTGTTACATTGGTCAATTACGGCTTTCAACATTGAACCATCATGGGATTCACCATCAGTTACAACCACCATGACTTTGGTAGCACCTGGTCGTCCACCAGCAGCTGCTGAATAAGCAGAATCTCTGTGGCAGATAAAAGAAAAACTCACTATCAAAAAATAAACTAAACACGTGGACCTCTGGTTAGAAATACAAATACGAAACTGACTTCTTTGAGCATAACCTATTGTGATTTAGAATTTCTCTATCAGTGCTGGTGACTTCCGAACTACATTCTATTCGTAGCCTGTAGAGAAACATATAAAAATATAAATCTTGCTTGGCATTAAAAATAACTTCCATGGTTTCCATGATGTGTGGGTGTGTGTGTATTTACATCAGAAATCCTTAGAATTATCTTCTGCTAATAAGATTAAACTCATTAAAACTAATCAACAGGGTAAAGATATTCATTCCTGTCATAAAAATTACTCATTGGATCTGCATTTATTTTTTTCAACAGTAAATTGTGTTTTAGAAAGTAACAAATATACGTGGTTAAAGAAATCCAAAGCGTTTGGAAAGGTGTAAAACAAAAATTTCACACCAAGCCACTATTCCAAAGGTAATCACTACTATCAGTTTACGTTTCCTTCTAGAAAATGTTTCATCTAGAGAAATATATGCAAAAGTTACTCCTTAAACTTCTATAAAAATGGGAACATATTCTCTGCAGCTGTTTTTCATTTTGATGGAGACCTTTCCATATCAGCACATATAGAACTCTCCTCTTTGTCTTTGATTTTCTGATTTTATTTCTATACAATTTTTAAAGGTTAATTTCCATTTACAGTTATTACAAAATATTGGCTCTATTCCCCACGGTGTACATCCTTGAGCCCATCTTACACCCAGCAGTTTGTGCCTCCCAGTCCTCCACCCTTATGTTGCCCCTCCCCCACCACTGGCAACCACTAGTTTAGATCTCTCCTTTTTTAATGGCTACATAGTATTTCATTATTTTGAGGAACCATAGTTTATTTAACCAATTCCCATTATTATGCATTTAGGCCATTTTGAGTTTTACTAATAATGCTATAATGAATGTCCTTGTGTATCTATCTTGGCATACTTTATTGAATGTGTCAGTAGGATAAAGTCTTAGCAGAGACATTATTTAGATAAAGTATTTACACATTCCAAATTTTGATAAATAAAATACTAAATTGCTCTTCAAAAATTCCACCAATTTAGGGCTTCCCTGGTAGCACAGTGGTTAAGAATCCACCTGCCAATGCAGGGGACACGGGTTCGAGCCCTGGTCAAGGAAGATCCCACATACCATGGAGCAACTAAGCCCGTGTGCTACAACTACAGAGCCTGTGCTCTAGAGCCCACAAGCCAAAACTACTGAGCCCGCATGCTGCAACTACTGAAGCCCATGTGCCTAGAGCCCGTGCTCCGCAACAAGAGAAGCCACAACAATGAGAAGCCCGCGCACCGCAACAAAGGGTAGCCCCTGCTCGCTGTAACTAGAGAAAGCCCGCGTGCAGCAATGAAGACCCAATGCAGCCAAAAGTAAAAAACAAATAAATAAATTTATTAAAAACAAATTCCACCAATTTATACTGTCATCAGTGTACAAGAATGCAATTTTCTCCACCTCCTTTCCATAACAATGAGAATTATTAACTTTTTAATCTGGGATACTCTTATAAGTGAGAAATAATATATAATTGTTATTTTAATATGTACTTTTTCACTATGAAGGATGATGAGTATTTTTAATATGTTTATTAGCCATTTATATTTCTTCCTTCATGAACTCTTGATTTTTATCTTTGCCCATTTTTCTTTGTTTTTCATCACTTTCCTGACAAGTAAGACTCTGTTAATAAATAAAATTATCATTTGTCATATATATTGTAAATAATTGTCAGTTCATTAATCATTTTTTGAAGTTTAGTGATATTAATTCTGTACAGAAATTTTATATTTTGATATAATCAAATCCATTAACTTTTGCATGTGTGTCTTTTATATTTGACATGGTATTTTAAAAGGACTTATCTCTAAGACTTTTCTCTTTAATCACCCAAGTTTTCTCATAGTCTTTTTTTGTCTTTTTTTTTTTTTTTTTTTGCGATATGTGGGCCTCTCACTGTCGTGGCCTTTCCCGTTGCCGTACGCGCAAGCTCAGCGGCCACGGCTCACAGGCCCAGCCGCTACGCGGCATCTGGGATCCTCCCAGACCGGGGCACGAACCCGTATCCCCTGCATCGGCAGGCGGACTCTCAACCACTGCGCCACCAGGGAGGCCCTCTCATAGTCTTTTAATGGTTTCATTTTCTTAGATTTAAATTGGTGGTCCAGCTGACATTTATTTTGATTCAAGGAGTGAGGCAGGGATTCAGCTTTATTTTGTTTCTAGATGTTTAACAAGTTGTCCAACAACTTTTTTTTCTGTCTTTTGGATTCTCTTGTTGCACATTCTTTCTGGTGTCATCATATAGGTTCACTACCACCACCTACATGATGACAATTTAAAGTCTATATTTGCTTCCATTCATCCCTCCTATCTTCAAGTTTGTGTATTCAATGCATTGAATATTTTCACCTGAAACTATAAGGAGCTCTTTAAATTCAACATGTGTAAAACTGAGACTATCATTTTATTTCCTAAAGCTTTTTTTTGTATTCTATATAGCAGAATATAGAAATATGGAAAAATATTTCATATTTCTCAGCCAAATTTGAATTCTTGTACTCACATCAAATAATTTTTGAGTGAATTATACTCTTTATGACATACAGTAGAGCTCATGTAGGATTATAAGTTTGCTGAGGGTAGAAACTATGCCTCATTTAGTTTTGATTCCCTGCAGGGCTTGGAACAGTAAATTTTAAGTGTAGGCACTCAGATAAGATCAATGGAAAATGGCAATATTTACTAAAAGAGTATCGGAATGCTATTTGTTGTTGTAAAGAAACCGATGGAGGGCTTCCCTGGTGGCGCTAGCGGTTGAGAGTCCGCCTGCCGATGCAGGGGACACGGGTTCGTGCCCCGGCCCGGGAAGATCCCACG